TCCATAGAAGGAAACTACAGATAAAACTAGGGGAAAATACAACTACAATATTTTTCATTTTTTCTATATTATGACCTTATACATGTCAAAGCAAATTTGATGAAAGTTCCACAAGTTCACTTAACAGTTTGTGTTAATAGGTTTCAATATTGTGAGGTTAAGCTCTTTTGCACTTATAAAATCAAGGATGCACAAATGAGTTACTGAATGACTAAGGGTTTCCAATTCCTAGAAAATCATGTACATCCACATTAATGTTTTAGTTGATAGTTTCACAATGTCTTACATTTAAACCGAACTTATTTATCTATTTTACCATTAAACCCCATACTAGTTTTATCTACAATTCTCTTGGATTTGCATTGCATTTTATGCAAATGCAAGAGATTTGTGATGTAATAGTCTAAATATAGACTAATTGATGTACATTAGGTACATCACAAAGTGTTATATATGGTCGCAACAATTGCAATTAAAAGAATCACAATCGATACCGGATGATACTGGATCACAGAAGTACTATGTGCCGTTATGTACTAATTGTAAGGCCAAGTTTTCTTGAATCTGTTGAGTCTACCAAAATTAGAAAGTACAATATATAGATATGTGATAATTAAGATTCATTTAGAAACCTGAATTAATTTGGATTATCTTCAAGTAATACATCCGTAAATAGCTGCCACAATGTGGCATACATTGAAATCAAAACTATATATATTTGTTTTTGAAAATATTGAAATCAAAACTATTGATCTATCAACATTCAGCATTAACCCCATAGCAATTCAATAGATCTCCCCGATGTGCATTGCATTGCATACAAATCCGAGAGATCCAAATGATTTCAATTACTCTACAACAAAGAGAAACAGTATAATCATTAATCATTCTGCTAAACAACTCTTTCATCCCTAAAGCCATTTAAACAACTGATGAACAAACAAACAATCAAAGATAGCTTGAAACTACACTAAACAACATCAAGTATGCATCACAACGTATCAAAAAGATCTTGAAAGACATGCAAATTTTTTCCAAAATAAAATAAAATCCATGC